TGTCCCTTGTAGCATCAAGGCCGATAATCACCACGGGTTTATTTCTGTCTGTTATTCATTTCACAGCAGACTCTTGTGATTGCCACAGTAGTACAGGTTTTTTTACAAGCAAGAGACACTAGGGGACCGAGGATCCCTGAACTTGGCCTCGCTGGGGGTCCGTTGGGGTTCTCTCTCTGATTTTATAAAACTGACCGTAAAAATGTTTTCTGTAATTTGTCGTGACGTTTCTGCGTCATAGTTGGGACCCAAAATGGCGCCTGTATATGAGTTGTAACTTTACCTATACAGGGCTTTGCTAGCCTCGGCTGTATGACAAAGTCTGCAATTGGAACTACTTTCACGTTCCCGGATTACCAACGGCGTTGCTCATGCCGACGCCTTTGAAGAATGTTTTATCATACAAATATTTCAAAGTCTAAAGCTGTCTTTCTTTCAGATTATCCGATTTTCTTTTAACACGGACAACTTAATTTGCTCTGAAAATTCTACACACGCTACGAACGACGCAATTTTGATACCTTTTCCTTAAAAGCGGAAAGTTTTCCTAATAAGTAAACCGGTGCCGCGTCGCAATTGTATAGACGTAGGTACATATCACTTACCGTCATACAGCCGAGGCCAGATCTAGAGTAACGGAATCTGCCGAGGTTTGCCACTTGATCTTTTACACTATTGTCACTTAAAGCAACGACCATAATTTCTCTTCATTTCCAGTATAGCGTTTGATCAAATGTTACGATTGCTGGAATTTTATTGGTGCGTGCTATTCCGCAAATATATCAAACGAATAGAATAGATACAGCTTTGATCCTTAGACTGAAGATCAATCATTGGCAGAAGATAAAAAGAAGATTTACCAGGATGCTTCACATATGCATCATACCTGACCGTTTGGGAGATACGGAATTGTATCGAAACAGTTCCCACAAAATGTCTACTTTCTTGTCTGTTAGGGGTATTTCATTGAGACGAACGTTTTCGAACCGAAGAGATAATCTTAGACGATTTGTTGCATGGTATTGATGAATGGGAATTTTGGTGTCTTCTGTAATGTCCAGTAGGCCATCAGGTTCCCTGGGTATTATTTGTGATTGAGAACATTGGTTTCTAAGCGTAACTGCACATACAAGGCTCGTGTCATTAAAGGTCCCCTTTCCATCAAGTGTCATAATGTTCGCATCGACATTACCTCCAACGAAGAGAGGGGGGTTGGATGGCTGAATGGTTAGCGCGCGCGCGCTGTATCATACAGTCTGTCATTGAGTCGACTTGCGTGGTTTCGAATCCCCGGTTTCCTCCCACTGCTAAAGACCCCTACGCGCAAGCGAATTATGTAAATAAAATTAAACCATATGTTAGTCCCGAAATGACCTAGTTTGTGTCGAGTGGACGTTAAACCCCATTTTTTTGTCTCTCTCTCTCTCTCCCCAACGAAGAGAGCAATTATTCCATCTTCCTAGTTTCCAATTGGAGATAACATACCCATACATGCAGCACTGAGTATAAATCTCCCAACCTAATAAAATGAGCAGAGTCCCACAGTGTGTAAGATGTCGATTAAAAATCGTGACCGAAACAAATAATTGGAGCTGAACATCCAGGCCTATCTCTGTGCTTGTGAAGAAAGTTTAATATTTTCCCCATACTTGTCAATAAGTTTCATCTTCATATATCGTGCGCTGTAAGCAGTAACACCTTCACAATTCATTTCACGCAAAATTTCATCCCCCATTTCTATTAAATCCGCGATTGTACGCTCTTCCTGGTCGTTTCCTTCAAAGTACTTGCAGACACAGAGAAATGCATTTACCCAAATTTCGTCTTTTGGTCTGAAAATCTGTTGGTGTGTCTTTTCCTGTTCGAAAATTGTTACATGATAGTTCACACAATCCGCGTATTAAGGTCAGCATTAAAGGACAATATTGGTGCCAGTCATTATCACATATGTGATTATCTGGTGGAATGTGTTTAACCAGTTCTATCACATATGTGATAATGACTGGCACCAATATTGTCCTTTAAAGAACTCAAATCGACCACAGACAACGTGACCCATTGATCATTGCGTGATTTGCAACAGTGTCGAATAGTTTTACCAAATCATCTGCTTTAACCAAACTATATTCCACCGACGCAGCACTCTTAAAACCTTTAGCCCCCTTCTCCATAATTGTAACACATTCCTCTTCTTTATCAATTCTATATAATGGACATATCTTCTCTGTATCAGCACTGATTTCTGGGGTTATCGTGGACCAATTTCGCAAGACATGCGACGTCTGGTGTCCCGTAGTGACGACCAGTAACGCCAATTACGACACACTGGTACCAACTTCCTGTCCGCAGTACATTTATCTAATACTGTTTGAGACATTCGCGATTTTTGGTCGAGAGCCGCCATCTTGTATTTGACCCCGCCCCCCTGTCCTTATTGTGACTGATTTTTGTAAACTTTCTTTTGCTTACTTAGAACATCATAATAAGTCAATAGAAATAAATAAAAAAAAAACACCTTTTGTTACAATTTGATCCACGTACGACATCATAATACCCATATACAAAAGATTAATACACGTTAATACATCTTTTCTGTTCGTTATCTATCTATCATGTAACTACAGACAAGTGTAACTATACTCAGCCAAATTAAAAACTTGACACTCGGGATTTTTGGGACTAGATTTTTAATATTTGGTTTAAGGCAACTATTTTAGTGTTATGTTGTGCACAGACGACCTTGGCATCAACAGAAAGCAAGAATACGTCTCGCCGAAAGTCCTTGACATTGATAACGTTCGTGATGTCACAGTACCCCCCAAAATGAAATTCACAGACTTGGAGAACAACTGGAATAAAGTGTTCAGTAACGGTTGTGGCCTCCTCTATTGTCTCGTACTGCCACACAACGTCTTCTCATGGATCTCAGAACATTTGTAAACACTACCCGAGGAAGACGTCGCCACTGCTCAGCAAGAGCATGTTGAAGGTCCTGCAACGTTAGTGGTGGATTCACTTGCTGACGAACACGTCCACCCAGTTCGTCCCAGATGTGTTCAATAGGATTAAGGTCGGGGCTAAGCGATGGCCAATCCAGGACTTGGACACCGGCATTTCTTAAAAAATTCTGGGTAGCAATTACTGTATGGGGTCGAGCATTGTCTTGTTGAAGCGTTAGTCCAGGCCCATGTCTCTGCATAAACGGAAGAAGAACAGGTTGCAAAATCTGATCCCTGTACTGGACAGCATTTAAGTTCCTTTGGACAACAACAAGAGGAGAACGTCCATGTGCACCAAAAGAACCCCAAACCATGACGCTGCCGCCAACAAATCAGTCAACTTCTCTGACGCATAGGCCCTACTTGAGCGTAACGTTCACCTCGTCTGCGGTACACTCGGGCCCTGCCATCGGCAAATCTCAAAGTGAATCAAGATTCGTCACTAAAGACAACCGAATTCCACTGTCTTTGAGTAAATCTTATGTGTCTTGTGGCCCACACAAGTCGGCTACGGCGATGAAGAGGTGTCAATATTGGTCCATTATAGGCCCTACGAGCTCGAAGACCAGCAGCCTGTTTGTGCAGTTACCCTTCCACCAAACATCTCTCTACTTGTGGAGGTTGCAGTGACAGATCTGTTTCTAAGATGACGTAATCGTATTGCTTGATCTTCCTGGAGTGACGTCACACGTGGCGCTCCCGCCCTTGGGCGGTCGGCAATAGTTCCAGTTTGAGGCACTCTCATTCTAAGATTAATTATTGTCTGGCGTGAACAATTAAAGGCTCTTGCAACAGTGACCACAGACTGACCAGCATAGAATCTACCTATAGCACGTAGACGTTCTACATTTGAAAGGCGCGGCATTTTCTAACAAAGATGAAAATAACAATTTTAATTTGTTTTTCCAGTTCAAGTTACGTGTGCGTGTTCAGTTTAAGCAAACTTGCATCGATTGACCTCACGAGTTTGTGGTTTGCACGTGTTTTTCATCTTTATATGCCCAAAAGTCACGTGATCCACGTGACTTTACAATTTTATGAAATTAAAGGCTTCTTACTACTTCCTATCGTTAGAAACACTTTAAAATTTATTTGACTTACCAGAAAATTTTTTTTGTTGAAATTCATCAGTGTCAAGTTTTTAATTTGGCTGAATATATATAGACAATTAAAACCATAGTTACTGTGGGTCATTTCGGGACTAACATAAGGTTCAATTTTATTTCAATAATTCGCTTGAGCGTAGTGGTCTTTAGCAGTGGGAGCAAACCGGAAGACCCGGAGAAAACCTACTCCTTGTCACGTACAACAGGGAAATCGAAAGTACGCCATTTGACTCAGTGCTATGTAAATATATATCAATTGTAGCATTATGTCCTTCTCTATACAATGACATGAATAGCTCCAAGACGGACGAAAAGTACATTACAGTATCATTAAACCAGTTTTGAAATCAGTTTGATCTTTTTCATCGTTTACCGTGCACCAAAGTAGTGTAGCTTTACGGTTGTGCTATTGTATATTCACACACTGATTATGATCGATTTGTGACTTGCTTGCATCTAATAGTAAGTGCAGGAGGACGGCACTACACGTAAAACAAAAATCTACAAAATAAACCTGCGGACAATACAGACAATAGACATTGCACCAAATAAACAAATATCAAATCAAATGAATGGATCCGGGGGCAAGCCGTAAGCGTCCACTGCGCTGTACAGTCCCGGGCCTTTAGTGACACAGACTTCACTAAAATTTGAAAAAAATCAGGAATGTAATGCCCCCTTTTATTTGTGCCTCGGTGAAAACTATAATCTGTGACCCATTGAGAATTTTCTGGCCAGGTGGCATGACGACCCTGCACACATCTTCTACACCAAATAAAAAGAAAGAACAAAACTCCCGGTATTCGGTTAGAAAACAAGAATAAATTTGATGATGGTGGCATTTTTGTCTCTAATAATTATAGAGCACTCGATAATAATAAAAGAGCATACTTACATTACGTGCTATCCTATTCTAATATCGTAAGATGATACTTCTATTGTCAAAGCTGACGCCACGGTCGGTTGACATTAATAATATAATTTGTCAATGGACTAGCTATTTAGAAAGTGCAATTTCGTGGATTCTGATTGGTCGAAAAGCGGTGTCGAATGAGTAGAACAGTCTGGGCGACTCACTGCGAATTAATATTTCCTGGGGAATAGACCCTCTTTGCAGCAGTGGCCAAAAATTCTGACCTCAAAACTTTATTCTAGAAAATCTTCCAGAAATTTTGCTTGCATGTCATCAATGAAATTCAACCATTGGCTTATTGAAACACACACCTGGAACACAAAATTAGCGAGTGTATTTAAAAAAAATCATACACAGGTGTTACAGCTTTCAAATCAGCGTAGTAAAGTGGCACACGAGTGTAAGGACGTTTATCAAACATAATATGCAATTTATGTGTAACCTAGCCACTTGGTGTAGATGCTTATTAGGAGAATGCCTTGATAGAAATGAAATGAAATGGGGTAAAGTCATTCTCTACTTTCTCAACCCCACCATTTCGTAGAACGTGTTTAGAAGTTATTTAAATATTATTGTATGCCCCTTTATGGGTGTCCGTTATGGGATTACTCCCCTAAAGAGTTGCTGTTTTCTTGAGTGCATCGCGAAAAGCCATCCCAAAAATATGGAATATACCACAAGGGACACAGTGTAATTTATTGAATCTGTCATTTCTCTCACCCGTAGCTTCTCCTTTGCATGAAATTCACCTTGGGCGCTTGCCTGCAAAGACATTGTGTCTTATCCGCAAAAAACTGGATCAAGCCTATTTTGTGGCTTTCTTGAGCAAATTTCTTTGGAAACATTTTGTCTACGATATCACCCTTGGTGGAAGTGGACGTAAAACTCCAGGAACGAACGGACGATTTTTAGACACCATGTAGATTTTGAGAGCAAATACTATGTAGGTTCGTTGGAAGTGACTGTTGAGGTTCAAGAGACACCATCTAGATTCAGAATGCCCCGTTAAGTCGTAGGAGAGCCATGTGATGCATTGGGATCCGTCAGTAAACACGTTCTACGAAATGGTGGGGTTGAGAAAGTAGAGAATGACTTTATTTTAATCTATGCTTGTAACCTTTGTATCCAGTGCGTGACATAAAATGTAGAAACCAACTGGGGTTGTTATTCATGTGTGTAACCAATAAATAAATGTGTTGGAGAATAATACACAACGTTTAAAGTGAAGCCCTAAAGCATAGAACTACAAATATTACAAGAGATAATACTAGACGATCACAAGGCTAATATAATATGTAGCAGAGAAGAGTATGCGTCACACGTTGGATGTGGGGAGTTTTGGGGTATGTGCGTTTATCAAAATTTGAATTGACTAATGTGTCTCTTAATCAAATTTTATATTCCAAGTAACTGATCCACATAGTGGCTGCACCTTGTACGAAAAATAGTGTAAAATTATGTAATACCAAGATTGTGGAACCTTTAGATGTCACAATTTTTATCTGATTTTGATAAAACTTAGAATATATTATATCCCGAAGATCTAGGTTCCTGTAGACATCCACATATATATTGGACGGTAACTTCATGAATTATGCCCCCTGATTGTACAATAAAATTGTTTCCTTTTTTTTGGAGCTTAAACTGTCCCCCTCTTGCAAAATTTAGGCATATCTTGCATACCAACCCCTTGTTTATACAAATGTCAAACTTTGAAATTGGGTAAAATGTTGATGGTAAACGACATAACATAGCGTCTCTTTGACAGATTTTTTTTATAATTCTTTTTTTCTTTAATAATCGTGAAAAAAAAACCCAAAAACAAAACACATTAATCTACTAGATGTTGAAATTAATGTTTAAGTGTGTGATTCGTTTGGAGGACAGGTCTAGTTATTAGTATACTCTTGCGTTTCATCGCTCTCACCCAGTTAGATGCAAAGTTATCGTGTTGCAAAGTCTCAACCAATCCATCTGCTTATCTCTGCTTGGTCTTTGTGGAAAATGTGCATGATTGAAGTCTATCAAGACATTCACCCAATAGACACCTACACCTTTTTACCTCAATTAGGAGAGTTATTGTGTTGAGTCTCTACTTAGCAGACAATGTTCGTCATCGCACTCTATCAAGCATTCACTTAATAAACACCAAGTCTGAACATTCTGGCTCAATTGGGCGAGTTATTGATTGTGCCCCAAGACAGGCAATATCCTCGCATATCACAGTGTTACCAAACACTAGTAAAGATTATCCATGGTTTGCTAAAACTTTTTTTTCTTCATTTTATGAAAGATTTATGTATATGCTTAGTTTACTTTCCTCCTTATTGATCAGTATACACCCAACATTAGACAATAGAGACTTTTGGCAAGCGGAATTTTTCCCATTCGTATCACGCATCCATATCGTATACGTGATACGTTGAGTCAATGTAACTTTAAGAGTTTTGGCAGATTTTCGCGTCGCGTACGTATGCGTCGCTGAGCTGAGCTTAGTTTTACATGTATTACAGCATGATGGCAGATATCTACCAAGATCACCGTAAGTACTGGTCAACAATTTCCTGGAGGGACTGAAGTCGCTGGGCTATTAAAAAAATAATTTCGAATCCTATAAAAAAATTATTCGACTTAGATTCGGCAGGAATTTTTGGTTTCACTAATGTATCATTTCAGAAAGTATATACCAGTTAATTTACCTTAGTAAAAAATAATTTACAGATTTGCAAGGTCCCACCTCCCTAAATTTAGCACGTAGATCAATCAGCATGCAGACTGGAAAAGTATGAAAATTCCGGGAAAAACCTATCAAAAAAAATGATTAAATTCCAGTCGTTATCATGGCTAAAATCACTTCAAATATACACCTTTGTGTTCTAGGATACACATAGATTCATAAAAACGCTATGATACAACATTTCTGCGTCTAAAGGTAGCAAAAAAAGATGACAATTTTATACGGACCTTTTCCATATGACAGCTGTTCGATACGTGCTGCCGTATCCGTGTGCCGTATCACGTATGAGAAATGCACACACACATTGATGACGTCACACTCAAAATCCATACGGATACGCGATAGGGACCAGGAGTTTACGCTTGCAAAAAGTCTCTATTGGAATCAATAGCTATCACTCCAGCAGAGATGTTTGCTATGTGGTGATTTTAATGACTTCATAAGGACTGATAAGGCTTTTTATCTCCCAATATATGATGACTATCGACTCGATGTTAATATCCAACAGAGATATAGTAGAGATTATTCAATTGATCAAAGAGGTAGAGAGAGAACTTATTGATACCTGCATTGGCAATCAACGAAGGGTTCTCAATGAACTAGTTTTGGGAGACTCGTTTGGAAAATGAGAAGGGTGCACTAATCCGCCGCTATAAGAAATACTATAAATATCGGTATCAATAAACCTAAACCCAACCCTATTAAAAGATATCGATTACTAATGAACCCGTGCACTTTAACCATAACCCAACCCTAATAATGGATATCGGTGGACTAATGAAGCCGCGGACTAGTGATATCACCGGCAGGTGGACTAGTGAGCATTCCCATGGAAATCACACTGTGGTTGATTACGCAATCGCATCAAGGATGCATTCTAAGCAAAATTTCATGCTTTGCAGTTTCACCCTTTTACGCACCCTTAGTGATTGTCGCTATAAGTTGTCGCTAATTCTATTAGCTGATTTTATTATTGATCCCACTGATGAAATCAAACAAATTACTCATGGTATGCCCACCAAAATTAAATGGAAAGAATTGGAAATGGTCTTGGTTCAGTAACTGTTGATATTGATGCAGCTACATTAGATCTAAATTTCATTATTATAGGCTCGCTTCAAAAGTGTTAACTAGACACTAGAGCTGTTCATGACAAATACTATAAATGATATCGTGAAAACACAACTGGCTAAATGGATCTTTTTAAAGACAATAGAGGACTTACATTATTGGATTTTACTTTCAGAATTAAAGGACCTAAGTCCGTTACTCAAAATCCTCCAAAATCTTCGACATCGAAAACACGAATTATTGGTCAATTTAAATCAACATTGATGATGTAAACTTAACGGGAAAACATGAGCTTCTGATATCCGATATTTAAGATAAAATAATTCTTTTAACATTGGTACACGAATCGTGTACCATAATGCGCTTCAGCCCCAGTTGTATTGTGAGACTCGAGGGACGAGGCTAGACACATTGCACCAAATCAAATGGAGTTATGTAGACTAGAATAACTAGACGCTAGAAATTTGCACTCGATTGAGATTGCTGACTTATTTCGCCGAACATAACTGATTTGAAATTGGAGTAAAAACGGAAACCATTAAATGTAAATCAGTTTATATACATTCATATTACAGTATTATATGCGTTGCGACCCACTTTTGTGAATTTCTAGGTCCCAAATGTTAGCGATTTAGCTCCTTTAAGGGATGGGACAAAGTTAACAATGATAACACTTGGTCATTTTCGTGCGTTAAATACTCCCAATTGCTCATTTTGGTCTTGAACTTTCACAGATGGAAAACCACAAATGCTTCAACTAATATTACTCTTGATGGAGTTGATGAAGTCATATCTGACTTAAAAATAAACAGTAAGGCAATTGGTGTAGATCTAATCTGTAATGACATGTTGCAGAGTAGCAAGCCTGTTTTAGGGCAATGTTTCCAGAAAATGTTTAATGTGTCTTTTGCAATCCACCTATCCATCATGCTGGGTTGATGGCTATCGTATGTCCTTGCATAAGGGTGATGAGGAGGATAATCCGGTCAACTATAGAGAAATTTCTGTAACTAGTAATCTAGGTAAACTTTTTAATTCGGTGCTAAATAATAGATTGAATACATTTCTATGTACTAAAAATATTATACATAAGTCATGCCAAATTGACTTTTCTAAAACCCATGGAAAGAGGATAATCTTTAACTAGTAATCTGGCTAAACTTTTTAATGCGGTGCTAAATAAAGACATTTCTATGTACTAACAACATCATACATAAGTCATGCCAAATTGACTTTTCTAAAAATCATCGAACTTCAGATCATATGTTCATTTTAAAAACTACTCTTGACAGACAAATATTGTAAATCGAAAGAGGGTAAACTGCTTTTTGACTTCAGAAAAGCGTTCGACACGGTAATTCTGGACTTTATAAAAAGAACTTCTTCAAATCGGAGTTGGTTCCAACTTTTACTTTTTGATTAAAAATATGTATCAGAAAAGTAAGTCGTCTATCAAAATCAAGTACAAGCTCACAGAATCGTTCTCCTTGGACCTCGGAGTTAGACAGTGCGATAATTTAAGCCCTAACCGTTTTTTTTTAAACAAAAATGTATTAATGACTTACCTTTTTATTTCTCCCAACTGCTCTGATCCAGTCACTCTTGGACCCAACATTATAACCCATTGCTTTATTTATGCTGATGACGTGGTGATCTTATCTAAAAGTGGATTACAATCTAAACTTGATAAAGTAGACCACTTTTGAAAAAAAAACTGGTCTCTTTCAGTAAATATTGATAAATCAAAAATTTGTATCTTTCAACAAAACTGGTCGATTACTTAAATAAGATTTTGTATTTCATGGTATCACACTTGAAAATGTCTCATTTTACCGATATATCTTGGTGTAATATTTTCGTCGTCAGGTTTCTGTTCCCGTCGAGCTTACATCGTAAAAGTTTAAATGCATATTTTATATTGTGTAAAGATGTACATGTATTCTCTTTAAATCCGCAGATTAAAACCAGTTTGCATATGTTTGATCACACCATTATTTAATCAGTTTAGCCCATAATAGTGGATGGTAATGCAATATGGTCAGCTTTTAATATACTTAGTCCCAAGTTCAAAAAATGTTTCTCTTTAGAAACGATACAGAATCGGATAAGCTACATGGTAAATTTTGTAAATTGCTTTTAGGGCTACACACAAAATGTTCAAATTTTGCCATTCTGGGCGAATTAGGTCGATCTGAAATGTATTTAGAAATTATCAAGTCTCTCCTGTGTTTTAGCATCACCCTGAAAACTCATCTCTTGTGTTCTTTGTTGTCCCCCGCCTTTCGGTGTAGGTGTTTATTAGATCAATGCCTTGATGGAGTTCGAAGGTGAGCATTTCTGCTTAGGGTTGGTTGTTGCAATTTGGTGTATAGTTTCATTACATTGATACCTTCCTTGACTAAGAACGATAAAGAACATTTTCTGCTCAGGGTAAGCAGAGCAATAAGCAATTTGATTGGTCGAGACTTTGGAACACAATAACTATCCTTCGAATTAAGGTAGAATGTTCAAACTTGGTGTAGGCGTTGATTGGATGAATGCCTTGATGGAGTTCAAAGATTGGCATTTTCTGCTTAGGGTAAGCAGAGATAAGCAATTTGATTGGCTGGTGCTTTGGGACACGATAACTTTGGTTCTAATTAAGTGAGAGTGATGAAACTTGGTGTATAGTTTCAACACACCAATACCTTGGCTAAGTTTGATTATGAGAGCATTTTCAGCTCAGGGTAAGCAAAGTGATCAGAAATTTGTTCGGTCAAGACTTTGGAGTTCTGCAACTTTGTTACCAATTGTGTGATATATGTGAAACTTCGTATATAGTTTTATGACATCAATACCTTAACAAGGTTCGATGCTGGGCATTTTCTGCTTAGGCAAAGTAGGGATTTTACTCTGATTGGTCTAGACTTTGGAACACAATAACTCTCCTAATTGAGGTAGAATGTTCAAAATTGGTGTAGGCGTCTATTACGTGAATTCCTTGACATAGTTCGTTCATGCGCATTTTCCACTAAGGCTAAGCAGCGATGAGCAATTGGATTGGTTGAGACCTTGGAACACGATAACTTGGGTTCTAATTGGATGAGAGCGATGAAACTCCTGAGTGTAGATTCATTATATCAATACATTGACTAAGTTCGATGATGAGAATTTTCTGCTTAGGTTAAGTAGCGATAAGCATAAGAAATTTGATTAGTCAAGACTTTGAAACCTAACAATTCTGCTTTTAATTGAGGTATAGATGTTCATTAGGCGAATGTCTTGGCTGAGTTCTATGATTAACATTAAAGGTACTTCAAAATCTGAGTTTGATAGTGAACATTTACTGCTTAAAGGAGCTAAGTCTCTAACTCAATATCATCCAAAATCTTCAACATTGAAAACACGATTTATTTGTCAAATTAAATCAACATTCATGTTGTGATCTTACCGGAAAAAGATGGGCTTTTGATATCCAATATTTAAGACAAAATAAACGTTTTAACATTGGTACACGAATCGTGTACCATAGTGCGCTTCAGCCCCAGTTGTATCAAGAGACTCGAGGAACGAGGCTAGACACATTGCACCAAATCAAACGGCGTATGCAGACTGGAATAACCAGACGCTAGAAATTTGCACTCGCTTGAGACTGCTGGCTTATTTCGCCGAACATAACTGATTTGAAATTGGAGTAAAAACGGAAACCATTGAATGTAAATCAGTTTATATACATTCATATTAAGGTATTATATGCGTTGCGACCCACTTTTGTCAATTTCTAGGTCCAAAATGTTAGCAATTTAGCTCCTTTAAACTAAGCACAGATAATCAGTGTGATTACTCGATACTTTTGAAAAAGATAAATGTGCAATTAATTAATGTGTCATCTAGTTGTTTTGTTTTTAGTTTTTTGTGGGGGGGGGGGGGGGAGCGAAGGATATCAGCCTGACTGTTGGCTCAGGCTTCCCAAAGTTAGACAGTCATGGTCTAGCACTGTCACTGAATTATATCAGCTCTTAAAGGAGTATTATAGAAAATTAGATAAATGAATGTTCTCGCTATATTAGTTTAAAAAATAGATAACTTAAATAGAATATTAGAATATGCTGCAAATTTCAGTCAAATTTTTCCACCCTGAATTGAGATATTAGCTTTTGTTTTTTATGCTGGCCTCGATCATCATTACTAAAGTAGGTACGATTAAAAAAAGTCTCGATTATCCATTTTTAACGTTTAATTATTTAAAAAAAAAATGTATCCCAGTTCGTTAAATATCGTAGGCTAGTGATGGAATGGAGAGTTAATTATGGTCTGGATAAGTTAATTAATGTCTAATTAATAATTTTGATAAAATTTCGGGCCTAAAGAAAGACCTGCAATAAGCAGATTTAGCTCTTTCATAATGTATGTTTAAATATGCCTTTAATAAATACTTCCGTCCTATTTGAAAAAGTTACTGGTCTAACGACATAAAGAAGCTAAAGGGAATCTTGGAATACAATGTACTGGGAAACTAGGTTTATATGTCCAGCTTAAAATTAACTGAGGATATGAAAATTGTTTATCCTTTAGAATATACGAATTTTAAGATGCTATATTGGTCTAGTATACATGGACTAAGACTAGTACTACGAATGTAGTGCGAGTTATTAATAGACAATTTTTCCCTTAATTTTTTTCTCCCCTCTTCCTGCATTTTTGGGTTGACTTTTTGGTCTAGAATAGGAGAAAAGGGATCAAATTTTCAATTTTATAGCAGTTTTGGGTAATACTGGTGATATTACAGCGGAGGGATAGGTGTGTAAAATGTCTTTCTGCGTAGCAATTATTGTATCGGAAGTGAGATTTTCACCCCAGTCAACTTCAAATCCCCGTAGCAAAAAATCTAAACGGTCAACCCCCTACAAATTTATGCTGAGGAGATTGCCAAATGTGGGTCCCCATTGTGCCTATAGAGATTGGAACCAACGGAATGTTGAGCAAAAAGCTACAGCCTGTGATGTTACACCCATTTAACATTGAAGTCAATGGGCAAATAATTACTAGTCTGAGTCCTGATAAGATGGCAGCCTTGATGAGTGGTTTTTTTTCCAGCTATTTATTTCCTGTAGTTTTGAATAGGAATTGTCAGAAAAGGTAAGAATACTGCTTCTGTATTGCCCAGTAGTAATTTTTTTGACTTTTTGATATCAAAAAAGCCATTGTTGGAGGTATCCGTTGGCTGAGTGTGAATTTGGGGTTTAAATGTTAACATTTCGTTCAGACCTAACATGTTTTGGCATCATACATTAAAATGTTAGCATGTACACTCCAAAATTCACACCCATGTGACCTTTGACCAAACCTGCAGTTGGCCTTAATATTTAGACCGAACCTCAAAACATGGTGTCTACCTTTGAGATTGGCTTAAACTTATGTGACACTCATTTTTTACTTTTTTACTAACTGTTAACTGGTTTCTTGTTGGAGGGCCAGTGATTGGATGTTCGCTAGAAATAAAGAGGTTTATTTCTATTTCGAGTCTAAACCATATTTTTTCTTTCGTATTCTCTCACTGCTTTTTTATTGCATATTAATCTCCAGCTTTCCATCATTTCAGGTGCCAGGGTAATATTTCATAGAGTGGATTGATTGACCTCAGCAAACACAAGTATTAAAAAAAAAGTTCAAGCAAAACAGGTGAGATAAATGTGCATTTCATACACTTTACGAAGTACACCCTACCTGATCCCCACTTCTGCCCACTAACGGGCTGGAAATTTGGTACTGCACAGGCCTTTCTATTCTCCTTGGCATGTAACTGAGTGACAGAATTCCACATTTTGACCATTTTCTGGATGTCAATGATCCGTTTCCCTGGATAGTATTCGCCCCAGAATTCTCACTCTCATCCATATTGAACATTTCAGGTCTACATCTCAAAACCCGATGACTTCATGGATTGGCTTTAGTAGAACGATGATGCATATCAATTTCATCACTGATCTCTATGACAACTGTGGTGAAAGTGGAGGGCAAATTGTAATCAGTTTGGGTTCCAGCTGAGGACCTCTGTAAACTTTGCTTTTTGGTGATGACTTCATTTCCGAGCCGGAAAAGGACACCCCATGAGTTTATCATGGCCTCTCATATTGGAAGATAACATAAATGGCTTGTGTGTTGACGGTTGTGCATATCTCTTGGTCAGGAAAGTTGTAGGCACCATCACCCTTGTAAATCATTTGACAGGCCAGAGTGAACAGGGAGACCCATGATTGGTCAGCAATGTATCAGATTCAACACTGGGGGGTGGGGATGATAAAACTGTTGTAGTGTTACATAATCAGATTATTTCAACTTACTTATCCTGTGGAAATACAGCTATATAGAAGATATTTTAAAATTCATAGACTACATGTTTCAACATTTTAAATCTGACCACAATTTGGCACCTGAAACTGTGTTAACAGAGAAAAACTGTGTGGTTTTCGATGAAAGTGTTAAAAAGTCTAATATTGCATCATGATTACTGTTTTAAAGTATTTTCGGGTTTGATTTATATTGAATTCATCTCATCTTTTTACAGAATGCATTTATGTTCAAAAATAAAAATGTTCTGTGGAATTCAAAATTCGTTTGCTTTTAAATTATCAGATTCCAAACAGGGGGTGGGGATGAAAAAGCTGCTGTGTTACATAATCAGATTATTTCAACTTACTTATTCTATGGACATACAGCTATATAGGAGATATTTTAAAATTGATAGGCACTGCATGTTTCAACATCTTAGATTTGACCACAAATTGGCACTGGAAACTACGTTAACAGAGATAAACCTTGTGGTTTTCGATGAAAGTGTTAAAAAGTTAAATATTGCATCATGATAACTGTTTTAAAGTATTTTCGTGTTTGATTTATATTGAGTTTATCTCATCTTTTTACAGAATGCATTTATGTTCAAAAATAAAAATGTTGTGTGGAATTCAAAATTCATGTGCTTTTAAATTTCTGTCTGAAATTCCGCAGTTTTCTGATGTATTATAGTGATTGTAGAATGCTGCACTGCTCATCTGACAATGTATGGATTTTCATACTCCTTGGCCAGGGTATTGCATATATGTTTGTTTATTAGATAACAACAGATTTGTTCAAACAGCAAGAACATGTGAGGTATATAGGACTAAGACTAGTAATTATTTCCCCTTATTTCATGATGGACGAGGGGGATCACGGTGGCTAAATGGGTAAGGCGCTGGCTCGCTAGCCTGGAGGTCGGGTGTTCGATCCCTGCATTGGCCGAGAAAGTTAATCCCGATTTTCCGTCGTGGTTCCCCCTTGTCAGTGATACAGGACGGAAGGCCTGACAAGGACAGCTGTCTAGTCATTCGGAATTCGATATAAGAGTAGGCCGTAGTGCCGCTGTCCGGGCAAAATTTCCCTCATAGCACACTGTATGGCGTATGCCCGTCTTCATTAGCCCAGTTCGGAGCAAAACAGTAGGACGTTAAACCCCATTTCATTTCATTTCATGATGGACGAATGTAGTGCGAGTTATTAATAGACAATTTTTCCCTTATTTGTTTCTCCCCTCTTCCTGCATTTTTGGATTTACTTTTTGGTCTAGAATAGGAGAAAAGGGATCAAATTTGCAATTTTATAGCAGTTTTGGGTAATACTGGTGATATTACAGCGGAGGGATAGGTGTGTATCGGAAGTGAGATTTTCACCCCAGTCAACTTCAAATCCCCGTAGCAAAAAATCTAAACGGTCAACCCTCTACAAATTTATGCTGAGGAGATTGCCAAATGTGGGTCCCCATTGTGTCTATAGAGATTGGAACCAACGGAATGTGGAGCAAAAAGCTACAGCCTGTGATGTTACACCCATTTAACATTGAAGTCAATGGGTAAATAATTACTAGTCTGAGACCACATAGGTTATGTGGATTTATCTCCCTTTTATTGATATTTTTACGAGCCGACGTTTATCGGCCAAAAGCTTTAGTGCATAATTATATTTATCACCTCTTAATTAAACATACATTATGCAAGAGCTAAATCTTCCTATTGCAGGTCTTTGTTTAATTAGGCCTAAAATATTGTCTAAATTATGAATTAGACATTAATTAACTTATCCAGACCATAATTAACTCTCGATGTTATCGCCATGGCCTGCGTTATTTTCTGGATTAGAATCCCATTTGCTGCTTAATAACGCTCATTGATAATTAGATCAAAAACCTGATAATCGAGACTATGTGTTTATCGTACCAACTTTAGTAATGATGATCGAGGCTATACCTAAAATTCAATCGCTAAAATGTCGGTTCAAATTGGATCAATTTGACTGAAGTTTTAAGCAAATTAGCTATTTATCTAATCTCCCATAATGTATCTTTAACTAACAAGAATGGTTTGCAAATTGTTATTTTTTTATTAATAATAAACTTCCAGCAATAAAAAAATACTTATCTTCGCCCAGTCTGGAGGCAATTAACCATTAATCTCCCCACTGATTCCATTGTTAATTGCTCTTTTCCCGACCCCAACTTTTCCCTAAAATTTCGTTACGCTGAATGCGTGGGAAATGTAGAGTTGAGTTAGATCTATATTTAGCACACATATTTATATATAACCACATGATATTTAGATTGGGAAACACCTTTCTATTAAAAGCTACACATCGATGCGAGATACTAACTATAAAGCGCTTAGTCAGGGAAATGTACCCATACGGATCATAATATAGCACAACCGAAAAGCTGCACTACTTTGTTTCACGGTAAATGATGAAAAGATAAAATGTATGCCGACATGTTGAAACTGATTTCAACACTGGTTTAATAACATTTTAACATTTTTTTTATATATATATATAAAATGCGCTTAATTATTAACTCAGTTTATAGCATTATGTAACAATATAAATGACGTGCTAAAAAGAATTTGTTTGTTTTATGGGTAACCGAAGAGCTCCGAATGCACCAGTCGCTTATAATGTGTCCGACTTTCTTCAATACAATGTTTCATGTGGTTTTAACTGCTGTATGTATATCTTATCAAGGGTTGACAAATTCGCGATCGTTGCTCTAGGAGAATGGGGTAACAGGTGAAACCCATTCTATAAACAAATATATAAATGGATATAATCACAAACACACCCTCGGTAAATACGTGATCAACTCGTCATGGAGATCATGGAAAACCCCTTCTATAAATGGCTTACACATACGCGTCCTTCATTGCTTCTTTTGTTCACCTGTCGTCACTTGCCACAAATGGATGATTATGGGAAAAACCCTTCTATAAATAGAAACGCCTCCGGCATTACTGCTTTTAGAGGCCGGTCTTCATTAGCCAAGTTAGAACAGAACTCCATTTCACTTCTTTTTGGAGTCTACTGGACAGATCGGGCAATATTTGGATCTTCTTAAAAAAGTAAGTGTAAAGTTTTAGTTCAAAAGATTTAGCGATTTTCTAAATATAAATAATCATAATAATTTAAATATATTAGGTTAAAATATATAAGGTATTTCAGTCAAATGACAACTTTTCAATATTCTGTAAGGATTTTTGTGAAGATTGAAATTAAGCAGCCAAACCTCAAATTCAGAATTATCGAAACCTCATAAATCTTCGAATATTATACGTTGACTCTTTTTTTTTAATTATAAAGTCGAGGGAAAGAAATCCGCGTTTCCGCCATATGTATATCATGACGTATCAAATATTCCTAGAAATCCAAGTTTTCGGTTTTCATTACAGTGTAATAACGAAAAATGGAAATTCTCTTTATTTATATTGTCTCTTTTATTTTATCAAATTTACGCCCTTGATCAATTCTGTATCAGCATTGATTCAAAGCTTTCCATATTTTTAAGCATATGGCGGACTAAAATGTTATAGTATTATTTTAATAATTTGCTTGCATACGGCCCATTAGAGTAAATAGAAGAAACTCCATAAGGCCGCCCTGCTAGTTGTTCCGTACAATCCTGGGATCGGAACAGCGACTTGCATATATAACAGACCTTATGATCTACAGCTATACCGTGTAAGACCACGCCCCATGGGGTGATCTTTAAAACGTACCTTTTTGTACTGAATAATTTGATATCACTGAGTATAGATAATAATGTTTGTTGGTCAAATCTAAATAGCGTTCGTGGGTTGAAGGGATTGGGTGAATGGTAATGGGCATGTTGAATGGGTTGGGCGAATGGCGTGGGTATGTTAAAGGGGTTGGGCGAATAGCATGGGTGTGTTGAAGGGGTTGGGTGAATGGCGTGAGTGTGTTAAAGAGGTGGGGGTGAATGGCATGGGTGTGTTGAAGGGGTTGGGTGAATGGTATGGGGCATGTTGAAGGGGTGGGGCGAATGTCATGGGTGTGTTGAAGGGGTTGGGTGAATGGTATGGGGCATGTTGAGGGGGTGGGGCGAATGGTGTGCGTGTGTTGAAGGGGTGGGGCGAATGGCGTGGGTGTGTTAAAGGGGTTGTGCGAATGGTGTGGGTGTGTTGAAGGGGTGGGGCGAATGGTCTAATGTGTGCGCTTTAGATCATACGATCTGTGATTATGAGAAGAGGTGTGGCATACAGATATAGAATTGTCATAAATCGACAGGTATTGAGTATTGTTTCCTTAGTCGTTCGGATGGGACGAAAAAATGGAAAAAGATCCCTTGGCAGTTGGAATTCGATTAAAGTGTGGGCCTAAGCGCTGCCGTCCTTGCACACTTTCTCTCATCGCACACTCTATGGCGTATGCCCGTGTTGATTATCCCAGTTGGAGCAGAAGAGTAGGTCGTTAAACCCCATTTCATTTCATGTTGATATTGTTCCCCATGTAATGCAATACGATTGCAGCGCACACATATTCAAACGATTCAGTATTAGAAAAACGGGCTACGTAAACAAAAATAGTCTAGCTGTAAGCTAGTGAGAGAGAGAGAGAAATGTGGTTTAACGTCCACTCGACACAAACTAGGTCATTTCGGGACTAACACATGGTTCAATTTTATTTCAATAATTCGCTTGCGCGTAGGGGTCTTTAGCAGTGGGAGGAAACTGGAGGACCCGGAGAAAACCCACGAGGTTGGACAGGCGACCCTACTCCTTGCGTAAGCTAGGGGAATGCTCACTCGTTCGCGGGTTCATTAGTCCACCGATGTCTATTTTTAGGGGTTGGGTTGTGTTAGGGTTAAGGTGCACAAGTCCACCGATATCTATTATTAGGATTATTGTTCGGATTAAGTTTTTTGATATCCATATTTCTATAGTATTTCTTACAGTGGCGGACTAGTGAACCCTTATCGTAAGCTAAATGGCCTTATGGTTAGTTCTGTTAAATTTTAAATGATTTTCATTATGAAAAAAAAAAGACATCCTTTGAGTCTAAAATTGTAAAGAAAACTGTCTCCCCATAAGGAAAGACAACTGGGTCTATCATCGATTTTATGGTTTTAGTCATCACACAAGATAACCTCTTGACAAACTAGATATGATTAAATCTGCAACTATTTTTAGCTTTGATATAATATAGGCCATGCATTGCACATATCGAAAGTCTGTAATTTCAGATTAACATACTGGCTTTACAGCACGGGGGGGGGGGGGGGGGGGTGACCGAGTGATAAGCACGGACGAGTTGTATCATAAGGTCTGTCATTTAGTCAATTGGTGTGGTTTCGATTCCCAGGTTGTACATGGCAAGGAGTAGGGTCGCCTGTCCAACCCCATGTGTCCCTCGGTTTCTTTACACTGCTAAAGAACCCTACGCGCAAGCGAATTATTGAAATAATATTGAAGCATATGTTAGTCCTGAAATGACCTAGTTTGTGTCGAGTGGACGTCAATCCCCCCCCCCTCCCTCTCTCTCGCCTTACAACATTTCTTTTCGTAACTATTTTCCTCGACCAAGTGCAGTTAAACTATCATTTCCTTTTTTCTTTCAGTTGAAAGAATTCCAAGACTCACGAATCCTCAAAGTGTGTATTTGACTTGACCAGTCATAGAAAAGTTAACGAACGAGTATACCAAGTCAGGGGTGTGTGTATCATAAAAACTAAACAATTTGCTGGTTACCGACGAACTGGTGTATACAAACAACCATACCAGAAACAACCAGGAGTGAGTGTGTATCATACATAACAGATTTTCAGGTTACCAACCAACTGGTGTATACAAACAGCAAACAACCATAACAAAAACAACATCAACCTAAATAAATATGTCCAAGGAAGCTCCCAAACACGTTGCGTCTATGATCAATGAAGTTACACGATTAAAGTCTTTTTTTTCTCTGATTAGTTGGAGTGGATTTAATTATAATATTCGAAACGGACCTATAAGACTAGCTAAACAAGGGATATTTTACCACGATGAACATAATATTTTGATTTGCTTTATCTGTAAGAAGGAAACCGACATAGATGAATTACAGAATATAATAATTATCCTACACACCAGCACCTGTCCTTTTAAAGATGGATCACGGAATAATTCTGTAAGCAGTAATATACCCATTCAACATCCAGATGATGACCAATGTCAACTGATTAATAATGAACTATGTGGACGATATTGTGAAAATGACAGCAATAGTTATATGTCGATATCCCAGGAAAACAGTGGTCAAGCACCAAGAGATAGTTTGATACGGCCATTTTCTTTCAATAATAATGACAGCAATAGGCTTATGTCGATATCCCAGGAAAACAGTGGTCAAACCCCAAGTGATAGTTTGATACGGCCATTTAGTTTCAATAATGACAGCAATAGGCTTATGTCGATATCCCAGGAAAACAGTGGCCAAACACCAAGAGATAGTTTGTTTGGGGTGATACAGCCCCTTTCTTTCAATAATGTTATTAATAATCCTTTTAACTTAATTTCAACAAATTTTACTAATTCAACACAGAGTATGAGAATAGATATTCCTGAAAGTCAACCTTTTCTGAATAATTCAACACAGAGTATGAGAATAGATATTCCTGAAAGTCAACCTATTCTGAATAATTTAACTAGTCTTCCGGTTCCCAGTAATCAGACTGTCGGCAAACCAAACCCCCCTACCTGTTCACCATCACGTGACAGTAATTCACATCATCATCGTCATCCACAAGAGAGTACTGATTGTGGATCAAAGAACGAAGGTGAAATTCCTTATCTTTCTAACCCTAAAGATAATAATAATCGGAAAGCCTGTGATACACCGATGATGGCAAGTTATCAAAACAGATTGGATACTTTCAAGAAATGGCCACATCATTCAATTTCACCCCGCGATGTGAGTAGGGCAGGTCTTTATATGACAGGTAATTAGAATTTATTCAAGTGTTTGCTGTAACCAACAATAATGCATGTACAGATGTACCCCCCCCCCCCCCCACCTCACCTCCCCTCCCCTCCCCTTCCCAAACACACACACGCACAAAGGAGAAAAAAGAAAATGAAAGACATTAAACTGTTTTATAAACCTGTAACGGAAAATCTCTTTGATCTTTGGGGTATATTCTATGCCCGGAATAACTTGCGGTCTGAAAGTCGGGGAAGGTTTTGGATATATACAGGGAGATTTGGGGTTATTCTTCTAAAAGTTTTTCTTTAAACGTTAACGGGTTATTCTTCCAGGGTAGGTTTTTCCCCATAAGAAAACATGATATAAGGTTTTTCTTGTGGGAATTCTGGGATATTCTCATTTTGCGTACATGTAAACATAGATGGGTTATAAGCAAGATAAAGTCCTCGACTTCGGTTATGCCGGGGAAGAAAGACTTCAGAAAAAACCCTCGACAGAAAACCCTCGGCCTACGGGCCTCGGTTTTTCTTTCTCTCGGGTTGTTTTCTTCAGTCTTTCTTTCCCCAGCATAACCTCAGTCTCGTGTTTTATCTTACCCATAATTACTTCCGCCTTTGTTACGAATACCTCCCAAGGAAATAGGTTAAACTTTTAACGATCAATCGCAAATCATGTACCGAATCCCAAACTCTTACTTTCACGCGAATGTATTGGTATATTTGACATTTTAAGAATAAACTGTATACGTGCTACATTAATTGTATACTTTAATACTAACAGGACATTGTTTTAAAATTAACGGAAACAACACAATCTTTCCTGTTCGTATCCGTTCTGATCTTTAGTCAGACAATCATCTCGAATTTATATCTTGTCTAATTTGTTGACTAAAACTTGATAGTCTAATGTTGGTATATTCTGCGGACTAATAATCGAATTTAAATGTTTTAGGAGCACCAAGGCGTGCCAAATTTGAGAATTGGGGAGTCGCAAAAATATAGCATGTAGTATGATGCTTGAAAAGGGAAATTTGGTCTTTACATTGAATTTTTATAAAAGATTAATTTAAAAGAGCATTATATTTGGCACTCATATCTCACCGTATTGACACGGATCCGAGCCAACCCGGGTACTAAGACCAGCCAATGGGTGATATTTAAGCTGGGCACATGTCTTCATATTGGCACCCGTGGTCATTATTCCGGTTGATGCAGAAACGATGGACGTTAAACCCCATTTCAGTCATTCATATTAGGAAGAAACCGAGTCAAAACATGAACACAAGCATCTACGGCCAACTCCTATGTGGATTTCCAACCGCCAAAGGATCTTTTACGTGCACGCCAATGTGTTCATGGGACCGCTGCGTTTAGTCCCATCCGAACGACTGTACGTTGTCCCTTGCCAGACCCTCGATTCTGCAACCCTGACATGGAGGAACCACGCAGGAAAATACAGATGAATTTTCTCGACCAACACAGTATCGAACAGTGGACCCCTAGGTTAACAAGCCAACGTCTTACTCACTGAGCAACCGTGACTCCGAACCAACCAGACACGTCATTCATAAAAACGAGGATAGAGGGGTGGATGGTTTCCTTCCACTGCTAAAGACCCTTAAGCGCAAGCGAATTATTGAAATAAAATTGAACCATGTGTCCCGAAATGACCTAATTTGTGTTGAGTAGACGTTAAACTCTCTCTCTCTCTGTCTCTCTCTCTGTCTCTCTCTCTCTCTCTCTCTCCCCCCCCCCCCCGCCAAAAAAAAAAAATAAATAAATTCATAAATGCTGTTATTCACTTTTTCAGGTAAAGGAGACTCTGTACAATGTTTTACTTGTGATGTAATTTTAAAAAGCTGGAAGCCGACCGATGACCCGTTTACAGAACACCAAAAATGGTCGCCAAACTGCTCGTACATTGCTGAAAAATACTCTAAAAGTAAAACTGACAATATATCCAAGGTACGTTATTTATTAGCGAAAGAAGATATACTCCGTCAAATTTTATTAAAGTCCAGTCGAAGAATCGGATCAGATAGTGTACAGTGGAAACACGGCTTTATAGTGAAAATATATAGAGCATCAACAGAGCTATGGTAAACCTGGAATTCCACTGTCGACTCTTTATCAAATGGTTATAGATAACTTGTCCGATTTCCCAGTTAGATTTGGATACAACTTTACTTGATGAGGTTAACAAATTAAATAACATTTACTGACACAAAATCCAGCTCAGGATGAAATGAAATGGGTTTACCTCCTACTGTTCTGCTCTGAACTGGTCTAATGAAGACGGACATACGCCATACAGTGTACTATGAGGGAAAGTTTGCCCGGGCAACGGTGCTACGGCCTACTCTTATATCGAATTCGAACTGCCAAGGGATCTGTTCGAAGCAGAACAGTAGGACATTAAACCACATTTCTTTATTATATCATTATTTGTCTGACATAGTTTTAACTGTTTTTAAGACGAGATATGTATATGTTTTATTATAGGAAAAACATAAACTTCAAACCTTGTACACACCGAGTAAGTTTTATTTTTTTTATTCTTTTATTTTTTGTGCTTGATAACGACAAAGGAACCCTTGTCGAAACGTTATAAGTACACACCAGTGATTGTTTTCCATATAAATTGTGTTTTTTTTTAAAGTTCTATACAGAGAAATAAAAGAACACTACAAAAACAAACGATCAGTATATAAATTATCTCTCTTACTTAGCTCAACAAATAGCAATACATTGAAAACTCTTGGTATATATTTATATTTGGCTACGAAGAAACGATACACCCTAGTATCAAATATATAACAAAATAACTGTTTTGCAAAGTGATTAATTAATTAATTAATTAAATTTAATAAGTAAATGGTTTGTATATTGTTAACTGATATACGCATGAACAATATTTATTGCCTTGTGTTAAACTGTATCCGCCATCTAATTATATGTATACATGTAATGTAATACCTATATACATACGCATATATACGCATATTGCAAGTTCAAATTACATGTACATCTAAAATAGAATACGTTATACCAGAATGCTCATTTTAAATACGCATATTACATGAAATGAAATGAAATGAAATGGGGTTTAACGTCCTACTGTTCTGCTCCTAACCTGGGCTAATGAAGACGGGCATACGCCATACAGTGTGCTATGAGGGAAATTTTGCCCGGGCAGCGGCACTATCGCCTACTCTTATATCGAATTCCAACTGCCAAGGGATCTTTTACGTGCATTCCAATGTATACACGGGACCTCGGTTTTTCGTCTCATCCGAAGGACTAGACAGCTGTCCTTGTCAGGCCCTCCGTCCTGCATCACTGACAAGTTGGAACCACGCCGGAAAATCTGGATGAACTTTCTCGGCCAATGCAGGGATCGAACACCCGACCTCCAGGCTAGCGAGCCAGCGCCTTACCCACTTAGCCCACGTGGTCCCCACGCATATTACAAGTTCAAATTACATGTACATCTAAAATAGAATAGGTTATACCAGAATTCTCATTTTAAATACGTTTATTATTAATGCTGTCTCAACGAAACCATTGTAATTCTGACACGAGAAACCATAATATTGTGGGTGATCATCACAGCCAAAAATAAATAGTTGTTCAACAAACAAGAAATTAATGACCAACAAGCAACCCCTGTAGAATAAATCCGTATTTTACATATTCCCGAAGCCATGATGACCCGATATATCCCTAATTAGTCTCGGTCACCCAGAACCTCTTAGTCTTCAACGTTTATAGAATATTTTTCGGGATGACCTGGCGCCTGGTACGTTCGGGCATTTTTGATGCGCGAACTCTTAGGTTTTTTTTTACTGGCATGCGGAGGTAGTTCGGAGGTAAACAGTCTGTGAAGTACAACACTTGCCACTGTACCTGTGTATCGCTAATTATAAACCGAATGTGTGAAGACAGTTCATACATATCACTCAAAAATTTTTCAGTACAAACTCAGTTGATTCACGCTCGATTTGCTACTAAACAAACCCATCTGTTTATTTTCTCAACAGTGTGACCCGAAGTAACCGCGGATTTATTGACCTTGTATGAACTTATCCATAGCTATATCCTTACACCGAGAGAAATTATCTAGTCTCGGTGAAAAGAACCATGGTCATCTGGTAGAAAATTACTTTTGTATTTTTTGGAACGGAAAACAGTGTTTTTAGAAGCAAACTAGCCTGCCGCACATGAGGAAGTCATTATACTAATAATAAAAGGCGAGACCTCTTTTTGCGGCGCAGGCTTATCACTGAGTAGTAAACCGTCCACAAACAATAATATAGGAAGCCTAGTGACGAGTGTAGTAACGTAAGTAGGCTATAGACTATAGGTTTGAGTCGAGATTACTCGCTTTCAGTTTACTCTGTTTTTGCGATAACCAATTATGTGAGAAATACCATACTGACATTCGGTTTTTAAAAGTTGTACGCCAACTAAATGCGTTTGTTAGATACTGACAGAGCAGCCCCGAGTCCAACAATCGCCGCCCGAGCTGTCTTCGTCAGCTAGTTTCACAATATCGTGCAATAGGTGTATTAATGTGATTTTTAGGTTTAACCCCGCAAACAATGCCAAAATAGTATTTTCACTGCTTACAGAAAACTGAAATTTAAAAAAAAAAATTTTCATGAGGGTGACCCTCCCACACACTCCCTATCGAGCTGCCGCTCGGTCTGCGCAGCCTCATGCCTGGCACATACTGTCAACATTGTATATTTTTCTGTTTCCGCCCTATGCCCCACCATAATATATATTTCACGGCTACGTTGCGACGTTACCAGCATACCCAGTTGTTGACACCCATTACATCACTCCTGTCTAACAAATCATAAAGCTGTGGTGTTACGGTGGCGGCATAGTATTTCACCGTAACACCACAGCCACTCTAACCATTCATAATACATCTAACTATCCCTTTACAGCACTTCACTCCCTACACATTTACCCTCGTCCTACTTTCCCAAACGTCAACAACACATCTCATACATCCAGTTCGCTGATTAACCCTTGTACCACGTCTACTGGATGATAGAGACTACGGTCAAACCAATGAAACACTGCCAGGAATATGATATTTTAGAGTGATGTCATTTTGTAAACTAATATTTCAGAGTAGTGAAAACTTATACATTTTTATCCCCATATTCTATTTATTTTTATTTTAACTTAACGGTAATTCCAGTTTAATTACAAATTACAGTTAAAAATGATAGTTGTAATTGCACGCAGTTTTTACAATGTAATGAAATAAAGTGTCTCTTTCGTTTTTAGCTACAGCTACAGGTACTAAAACTCTGTCATCATTAGTTCTAACTTCTACAGGTAAATAACTGAACTGTATATTATTTAAACGGTTAAAAATTATAATTTGTGTTGCACTAATATTTAACGGTGTACATTTAGTTTACTAAACCAATTGGAGGGATGGATGGCCGAATGGTTAGCGTGTGTGAGCTGTAGTACCATAGAGTCTGTCATTGAGTTAACTGGCGTGGTTTCGATTACCCGGTTGTACGTGACAAGGAGACGGGTCGCCTGTCCAACCTCGTGGGTTTTCTCCGGATCCTTCGGTTTCCTCCCCCTACTAAAGAATCCTACAAGTAAGCAAAGTATTGAAATAAAATTAAACCATATGTTAGTCCCGAAATGACCTTGTTTCTAATCCATAAGACGTATATAGTTATGAACGGCTTGAGCTGTGATTATGATAACACAGTCTCCATAGATTCTGGATTTTAAACAATTTTATTTTTATATCCGCTTACTTCAACGTTAATAGAAATGTTCTGCTCCGTTTGGGCTAATGAGGACGTACATACGCCATACAGTGTGCTATGAGGGAAATTTTGCCCGGCAGTGACACTATGGCCTACTCTTATATCGAATGCCAATGTCAAGGGGTCTTTTACGTGCACATGAATGTATACACTGGACCTATGAATTTTCTCGGTCAATGCAGCGATGGAACATGCTAACTCCAGGCTAGCGAGCCAGCGTCATACTCACTTATAGCCACCGTGGCTATATAATAGATTATATAACGCTGAGTTTTGTTGTTACAAATAATGTATTTCATACCGCCAGGTTTATATTATTTAAGAAGACAACTATTCAGTATTCACGAACATCACGGACAAGAGTTAGACATTGAAACATTTGTTAAGTCCAGTGGTAGATATCGATAGGTCCATAACACGGCTCAGACTGAAGAAATTGGACTGAAATTTTCAACATACTCCCTTTTCTTGATCTATTTTTAACTTATATAGCGAGAACTGTTAGCTCTTTATCCAATCTTACATATTAAGAGGACAAATTCAGTATTCACTAACATTGTTAAGTCTAGTGGTGGATATCAATAGGTTTATCTATTATTTAAATAAGTTACCTTTTTTTTTCAGAAGCCAAATCGCTGAGGGCAGAAAATGAGAAACTGAAAGATGAAACCACGTGTAGAATATGTTTTGATAACCCAGCTGAGATATTGACCTTACCCTGTGCCCATATATCTTGTTGTGCTACATGTGCCGCACCTTTGAACAAATGTCCAATTTGTAGACGAGTAATAAAAGGAACAGTTAAAGTATCTTTATCGTGAAAAAAAATTGAAGAAAAAATAACATTGACCTTTATGGTGTGCCTATTTATTTTCACGTTGATTTCAAACAGCGTCATAATTATTGTATGTGGTATGATACGGATGTTTGTGGTGATGAATAATGTGTAATGTATTTATATTGCGGACATTAATTCATTATTTTTATATGTGATATGATACGGACGTTAGTTGATGGGGAAATATGTGTAATCTATTTATATTGCGGAAATTAATTCGCAATTGTGCTGTAAACACAAAGAGTCACGACTTAAAAAAAAAGAATATGTAAATATGCATTTATTTAGAAGCGTTTATGTTCCACATATACTTTGATTGAAATTATAGATAAAATACAAATAAAAACATAACATTTACAAAAAATGAATGTAATTATGATCGTTCCCTGTATCTGTTATCTCCTTTTACACGTGTTAATATTTTAACGGTATATTTTTGGTTGGGTCAGAAGGTCTATCATTGAGTCAACTGGCGTGTTTTCGATTTCCCTCTTGTATGTGACAAGGAGTAGGGTCGACTTTCCAACTTCCCTGGTTTTCACCGGGATTCTCGGTTTCCACCCACCTTTTCAAGCAAGATCCCTAAACCCCATTTCTCTCCCTCGCTCCCGAAATGGCCTAGTTTGTGTTGAGTGGACGTTAAATCCTATTTCTCTCCCTCGCTCCCTCCCCTTTCACACAGTATTGGGTTTGCATACAATCTGATTAACTGAATCGTTTCCACGATGATTCTCTTTACAAAATTTGGGGGTTTGGATGGCCGTATGGTTAGCACGCGCGCGCTGTATCATACGGTCTGTCATTGAGTCAACTGGCGGGGTTTCGGTTGTACGTGACAAGGAGTAGGGTCGCCTGTCCAATCTCGTAGGGTTTCTCCGGGTCCTCCGGTTTCCTCCCAGTGCTAAAAAGACCCCTACGCGCAAGCGAATTATTGAAACAAAATTGAACCATGTGTTAGTCCCGAAATGACCTAGTTTGTATCGAGTGGACGTTAAACCCAATTTCTCTCTCTTTAGAAAATTATAAATTCGTTGTCCGCAGTATAGCCGTGAAGAAGGTGATTATATTTTTGTGTGTAATGAAGACATTTTGTAATACGATGAG